TTAAATGTAAATGTTCCAAAGTAGGCAATTTATGTGTTTCCACAACTGACATCCAATGCAGACCTCATTCTCTCCCCCTCTTCTATCCTCCTGTTTTCCCTCTTTTCATACTCTTGTATTGATTCTAATAAAATGGTTGCTTTTCAAATATGGATCCTGAGTGGTGGTTTGAAGAGCTGGGTCGTACACCCCTTCCGTAATTTGGGTCCTGCAATGTCAGCCAGTAGTCACACATGTCTTTCTGGAAGAGCAGCAGGTTTTGGAGAACAAGGGCTTTTTTCTAAGGATTGTTGGTCTCTGACTTTCGGCAAATAGCCACAGGGTGGCGCAAGTTTGAGGGAATAAGAATGTATGTATCCTGTTCCTTATTCTATTCCCTTAACCAATTCAGGTTGTATGCCTTCCTGGTGCCCTTGCTTGTCTCTGCTCCCAATGGCTCAAAGAATAAACATTACCCTCCAGGAATCCAGGGACTCCTAAAAGAGTCAGCTCCTGGTTAGAATTTGTGGGAAACCATATTGACAATCTAAATCAGGTTTGAAAATCCCAAAATGTGTGTTTGTAAATATAACTTTATTATCTTTCTGATTTACTTCATAAATACCAGAGAAACTGTTCTCTGAGGATCAAGTGATTATAGATCGGGAGTATGGTGGGGGCAGGGGGAAGTGGAAGCTGGATTAGAGGGTGAAAGAGTATGTAGATAATCAAGAATTTACTGGGTAATATAAGCCTGGTGCAGTTGTGACGAATGGAGATGGGCAGAAGACAAAAGCGAGCAAGACAGGGGCCTCGGAACCCAGACATCCTCCCACTGAGATGTGACTCCGAAGGGCTGAGCCCTCTTGTTTCCACCATCTCTTATCTAATTCTCCCTTCTTGCTGCTGAGTTATAGGGTCTCCTCGGTCTAATGTCGTAAAGTCTTATGAAGACATCTGTAGACTGGCTGGTTTAATGGTCCATGAACCCATAAACATGGGAGAGGAGAGCCATTTGGTCCACTTGAGAGCCAGACCTTCTGGACATTATTTATTCCCTAACTCTGAAGCCTGGGACTGCTTGCCCCCTTCCCTTTCAATCTCTTTCCGGTTCCCTCGCGCCACTTTGTCCCTGTCTAGGGCCCATCCGAGACGCCCGGGTTTGACACCGCACTGCCACTCCTGAACAACGCGGTCCTGGTTTCTGTTTCCCTCCAGGGTGTCAGGGGGTCTGCCTGCATGGCACTCATTCAGATGAGCTCTTCTTCATCACTCATAACTCTTCTCCCAGGAGTCTTGCCACTCGGAGCTGTGGAGAAGCCCAGAGCTGGGCAGTGCTGCCTCCCCTTTTGTCTCCACTAAAGGGCTGCAGAGCCAGTGAAATCGATGCAGCACTGACAGCTGGGGAAAATGGAGGCTCACTGTGTGGGAGCCTGTGCTTAGCTGGATCACTGAGCACGCAGCTGGGAATCGCCCTGTTAGAGTAAGCAGCCCCCAGGCAGCCTCTGCCTTTGTGAGGAAGTGTGAGCTGGGGGAGGCTAGTGTTGGTTGCTGCGTGTGAGTGTGTGCAGAGGGCGCAGTTCAGTCTGTGGACATGCCAAGCTGCTACTCAAACCTTGAGTGTGACCTGGGGCAGAGGAGGGGGGGCAGACAAGGCAAAAGCTGGAGCCAACTGGCCTCACGGACATGGGCTGTTCCTCCAGCAGAGGTGACGGAAAGAAGTGCAGCAGAGTGAGAAACTTCGTGAACTCACCTGCTGAAAGTCACGGCAGCTTGGCTGCCACAGGAAGGGAAGGGTCTGTCCTCGGGTCCTTGGCTCTTTTGCCTTTGTTTCCTCCTCCCACTCTGCTCTCCTGCTTCCCCTCCCCACTCTGCTGCTGGAACATCTTGCTTTCCAGGTGCTGGCTCCCTCCTCTCAGCTTCTGTATTTGTGCATCTGTATTTTTTTTTTAATGGTTTCTCCCCTTTGTCTACTATATTATGTATGTCTTTGTCTTTTTCCTTCTCATTTCTTTTTCTCTTTGTCTTTTTCTTTCTCATTTCTGGTCTCTCCACCCCATGTTCTCTCTACCCCCACCCCCACCCCCGTTAAATTCCACAAACAACCTCAATTTGGATATTTAATTCCAACCCCCTCAAATTGTTGTCTTTTTGCAACAATCTGGGACTCTTTACGAGCTCTTTCTACCCCATGCTACCTCTGGAAACAGGTGCATCTCTTTCTGTATATAATGTGACGCCCCCTCCCAGACGGAGAGAGGCAATGCTGGCCCAATGGCCTCGTGCCTCTTCTCAGCACAGCCTTGTGTGATCATTTGGTGATGAGCCAGGAAGAGAGGAAGAGATGCTGAGAATTGAGTTTGCTGATAAACTGAGGGGCTGCTGAGATGAGAAGGTTTGGGGTTATTATTGCACCCTCTGCTTTTTTTCTCCCCCTTCCTGTTGCTGCTGTCCTCTGGGGAGGGAAGCTGGTGGGGAGCTGTGGTATTGGCCATGGCCTCTGCAGCTTATGAAAGTCGGCTTCTACATCTGCAGCCAGGGTGGGGGTGGGGCCAAGTGAGATCTGCAGCTGCGGGAGGAGGGCAGGTAAACCAAAGCCGTGCCATGTAAGAATGGGACGGACCATTCCTTCATGCTTTTTCAAATAGCAAGCAGCACCTCCCTCTGCAGCTGGGTTCGCTGCTTTATGTTTCAGTGATTCCTGACATGAGCAAGGGAGTCCGCTCCCAGAGAACCGGGCCTGGCTGTGCTCCTTTGTCCTCTGTCACGTACCCGTTTCTCTCTGGTTCCTGCTTCACCAGTCCGATTGGGTCTGCAAGGAGCCCGAGGTAGAGGGGATGGAGCTGCCGTGGCGCTACCTGGAGAGTGCAGGCGCATCTCTCCCAGGACACAGAGGATGCACCCTCTTTCTATGTTTTCTCTACCATTTTTTTTTTTGAATCCTCACCTGAGGATATTTTTTAGAGAGAGTGGAAGGGAAGGAGGAGGGAGAGAAAGAGAAACATCGATGGGAGAAAGATGCCTCCTGCCCAAGCCCTGAATGGGGCCAGGGTACTTGTCCTTGACTGGGAATTGAACCCACCATTACTTCCATCTGTGGACTGAAGCTCTAACCACTGAGAAAACCGGCCAGGGCTCTTTACCCTTCTATTTTTTTTTAAACTTGCAACTTTTAAAAAATATATATTTTTATTTTTATTTATTTTTTTAAAATATATTTTATTGATTTTTTTACAGAGAGGAAGGGAGAGGGATAGAGAGTTAGAAACATCGATGAGAGAGAAACATTGATCAGCTGCCTCCTGCACACTCCCTACTGGGGATGTGCCCACAACCAAGGTGCATGCCCTTAACTGGAACCGAACCTGGGACCCTTGAGTCCGCAGGCTGACGCTCTACCCACTGAGCCAAACCAGTCAGGGCTATATATTTTTATTGATATAAATGAAGGGAGAGATAGAAACATCAAGGATGAGAGAGAATCATTGATCAGCTGCCTCCTGCACGACCCCGTACTGAGGATTGAGACCCCCTACTGGGGATTGAGCCCACAACCCAGGTTGACTGGAATCGAACCCGGGACCTTTCAGTCCACGGGCCAACACCCTATCCACTGAGCCAAACCGGCTAGGGCTCTTTACCCTTTTTTCTTTTTCTTTTATTTGTGAGGAAGAGAGAGGGAGAGAGAGATAGAAATATCAATTATGAGAGAGAATCATCGATTGGCTGCCTCCTGCACGCCCCCCACTGGGGATCGAGCTCACAACCTGGGCACATGCCCTGACTCAGAATCTAATTGTGACCTCCTGGTTCATAGTGTTACAGAATTTACCAGGCGACCAAAAAATACACAGTAGTACTCAGAGACACAAGAAACACCCAGTTATTTCCAGATGTACTAGCACCGTGACTCAGGGGAGCCTGTTTCCAAATCCTGAGCCAGCCAATATGGAGGAAGCTTTCTCTTTTTACCCATTGGTTTCTTTGTCCCCCAAATATGGATCAGACTTCCAGACCTTTCACAGGCTTTGCAAAAAGCCCCATGTGTTGGGCCCTAACTGGTTTGGCTCAGTGGATAGAGCGTTGGCCTGCCGACTGAAAGGTCCCAGGTTCGATTCCAGTCAAGGGCATGTACCTTGGTTGCAGGCACCTCCCCAGAAGGAGATGTGTAGGAGGCAGCTGATTGATGTTTCTAACTCTCTATCCCTCTCCCTTGCTCTCTGTAAAAAATTAATAAAATATGTTTGTTTGTTTTTTTTAAAGCCCCATGTGTTGGGATGGTGGACGTGAGACCACACCTAAAGGCCTGGCCTGCCAGCACTGATAACCCCCTTGGGGGTTGTGTATTGTTCATGGTTTATGGCCTCTGTAAAATGTGAGTATTTAGGTAAACAGGTCTTGCAAGACCAGATAATTAAGGAAGGGGCAGTGACTTGATTATAGGCTAACAAGAATGTGCATTAGGGATACTGATTAACTAGGTAAAGAGTGAGCCTGGTAGCCCCCCAAATGTCTTAATTTCCTCATCAATAGGTTGATGCTCAACCACCGCACCACACTGGCCAGGCTCTGTTAAAAATTTTTAAGATAATAACTTGAGAATTTTATAACCATTCTTGAAATGACTAGAGTCATTTGGGATGTTGTAAGAAGACTGTAAATCACTGTTCTTTAGTGTCCAGCTAAACCAATTAGATTCTTATTTCTATCCAAATTTTTTGCTACCTTTCAGCATGGGAGTAACAACTTCCCTCTTTGAGGGTTTCCTGTGGCTCCATTCATTAACATAAGGGATCATGGGCAGGTAGAAACCATTTTCCTGATTTCCTCCCCATCCCTGCCTATAAAGGGAGGTAAGGAATGGTGATTGGCTCTCATGTCCACCCTTTACTCCCCGCTTGCTTCTTTCACTCAAAGCAGAGGGAAGGGT